ATTATTTGTTCATTCATCACAAGTCATATAGTAATTAAAATTAGTCATTTTACTAATATCATGAAGGTATACAATTTAACAGGCAATTCTCTTAGTTTAAACTTCACACGTATTACCAACCTACACTGTTGTAATGCCCATTCTTTCTAGCGTACAGGCACCCCAGAACATATTTAGTGAATTAGTACAACACCTGAGCTTGTAAAGCTCAACCAGGGTCATATCCAGACCCTTGATGATAACTTTAGGCAACAAATGCATTGGTTGAAAAGGTTAATTAGAGATGATAGTTTGTAATACTGCACATATGTTGACTACCAAGTCACTGCTCTACATTTACCCACAAGTCCTGGCAGTACATACAAATAAAAAGTATACAAGATGCCTTTTTTTAAAAAATAGGAAACAAATAAAAACATTGTCAACAATATTTATATTGGTTATATTCATATAACCAGGGGTAAAAGTGGACAGGCACCTCCATTGATGAGTGATTAAATCCAGTAGGCAGATTAATGCATATTACTATTAAATGAGTTGATTTTTCATGTGCCTGGTGTTACATCCAGTGACAGCATGGAGACGTTTGCTCAGTAATGAGAAAATTATGTTGTCGCTGCTTTCACCATTTTCTTCCTCCTGTGTTGTGTTTATTTGTTCAGATGTAAATAAATTCTGGTCGGTGGTACTTTAGCGGACAGCTAGTGGTACTGAAGAGGAGCGTGCATAAACGGAATAACGTTTTTTTTAAGTGGCAGAAAATGTCAAATGCAACTTTTCAAACAGCACAACAAACACCAGCAAACACACAAATTGTTTGTGTGCTACTTGTTACAAAATGAGCTAAATTACAGCTGCTACATTTCACAGGGAGAAGAAAGAAAAACGTTAATGTGCGGCATTGATAGATGGAGAAAGATGTAAGAAAGACAGGAAATTATTTTCAAAGGTAAGGACTTCTCTGCAAGTTATGAACTGGAAATTTAAGGATATTTGCAAGTAATATCCTTAATCATTTTAGAGTTTTTAACTCAGATATTGGATCTACGTGATGTATTGCTGGATTACGTTTTTGTGAAACATCTTGGGAAACCAACTGAATCAGTGTTATTCAAAGATTGGTTAGTTTGGAGTACTGCATCAAAGTTTATAGCGATGCACTATGTTAGACTGGCTGCATCTAGGGTATTGTTACTAGGGTACATCAAGGTAGCGGACATTAACACCGTGTAATTATGTCTTCCAACAAACTGTCACATTCAAATGAACTTCTAATTAACTGCCTCGAGACAACTGCTGTTGTGATTTGGCATTATATATATAAAACTGGATTGAACTGAATTAATCAAGCCATTAAAAGTTCATAAGGTACCAGTTTGATGCCACCATGTTGCCCCGCTATCGTGAGTTCTGCCTAACCACATGTTATGTATGTAGCTAAAGACTCAATATGTAGCATCTCAAAGGCGGAGGAAAAGAAAACTCGTGTTTTTATACATCTTAAATAGGGTCCTCCACAGTACAACGACGTTACATCCACTTCAAAAACAGTTTCACTAATGTTAACTAACAGCAGCTAACATAGGCTAACAGTAGCTAACAGCAGCACTTACTGACAGTAAAAGTTCAGCTCAACAACTCACTTCAGTTTTGCTGTTATCGAACAGAAGAGAGTTTCACTGACTCATATATGACTTCTTTCACAAAGTTTTCAGCCTCTTGCAGAGTAAACAGACGTTGATTGACAGCTTTGAACTTAGTTCATGTGAACTTAGCTGTGAACTTAGCTAGGATTATGCACTTGAACTGGGAGGCTTACAAAACAAAACTCACTCAACTGCAATCTGCAATCTACTTATATCTAGTATTGAGATTTTACACATTGCAGCTTTAAGGTGTTTATGCCATTGTTTATGTTTTATAGTAGCTTTATAGTGTCTATGAGTTAGAATACAGCTCATAAAACAACAACGTATAAGGAGTGAAAAGAAAAGATTTCTGCTCAAAATGCTGACTTTATTTAGTTTAGTTACATGTAAATTTTCCACCTAATTTTGTTACACAAGTACAGTGTAAAATGGTGATTTGTACACGTTCAGTTTATACCAAGCACATTTTCCTTACAGATTAGGTATTCAAATAAATCAACCTTTGCTTTTATACATTTCTGTTTCATTTTACTCTGAATTATTGCTTTTTGTATATTGAGAGTGAAAATTTTATTACATTTTTTTCAGAGTGTATCTTTTTGAATTCAGTTAAATCCACAAAGAGCAGTAAATAGTAAAATAGTAGTGAATAGTGAGGAGCAGCACAGGTCAGCTGATCACAGCCTTACCCGGCCTTGACGTAATTATTTTTTCCGGTCTGTCAAATCCTACTTTAACCCCTAAAACACACAAAACAAAACATCCATTTCTCTTTCGAAAACAAAAAGCAAAGACCATCTGTGACAATATCTATCTTCTTTTTCAAGAAATTAGATTTCTTTGTTTAGTCACAGATGTGAAGCTTCGGCTGTAAAGGCATTGAGAGGAAATCTGAAGGACACGAGTTTAGAAAGAAGGTAAAGCTAACAAAAAAAAAAAATCCAAGACAGGCAATATGTAATTGCAAAAAGATAAATGACTGTTCAGCTTTTTTTCTTATGTAGAGCCACTAACAAGATCAAACATTCTTGCTGATGTAAAAAGTGTTAATTTACTGTAAGAGGGGAGCAGGGGCGGAAAGAAACTTGGCTCAATTGCAAAAGTGTGATATATAGAACCTTTTTGGACTTTGTAGATGATATTAAAAAAGTTTTATTGCTTATTTTCCTTGTCTTAGTTCATTGAAACAGCAACAGCCCCTTCCTCTCCTTTGTGTCTGTACCTCGTCCAGAATAAAGGTTAAGCAGGGGTCTGAGCAGTTTTCTTCCAATCTGTGATCGAGTCTGTCCAGACTTTACATCTAGTCCTCGGCTTTGTCCATTCATTACATCTACAGCAACCTCAGTGAAGTTTTAACGTTACCATCAAGCGCTTTTTCAAATTCTATATGCACCATACATACACATTGCAGGTTCAACACAGAACACTAGTATTATGTGCAGACACTTCGATCAGAACAATGTCCTTCCACACAGCACGATGACGCAGTAATTTAACAGTGCAGTTCACTGTGCAGCAAGCTCAGCATAGCTATAGGCTTTCTGTGCATTAGCTTGACAACACATCAGCTTAAAACCTCAATCAGACATGACGGGTATTATGACAGTGCTTATCAGCTCTCTCTGCTTCAGGCTGTGTGCACGCTCACATAAAAGGTGTCATTTGGCTCTCCTTCTGCACAAAATGGATCAATTGAAGGCTGCCTATTTTTGTCAAAGACACTATCAGAAAAAAGGTGATAGGGACAGATAAAGAATGGGATGTGAAAATATAATCGCAAAAGGCAACACAGATCCTGCAAATGAGTCAAGAGAGGTAATATATTTAGAGATGTAATATGTTTATTTTAACCCTCGTGTGCTTGACATTTATTTCTTAACCATCACTCTTTGACAGCTGCTATCTTATAGTTCTGACAACATATTTATATTTATACATGAGTACATATCCTAGTGAGAGAGAGAAAGATGTTGAAATCAATGTAATTTGTGGTCACATCCAAGTTAAATTTAATTATTCTTTAATTTAATGTTCTCATCTTTACTCTTTTACCTGCAGTTCCAGCAGCATAAAATAGACTTGGTGGTAAATTACAGTCAAATGTAAAAGAATTTATGCATTTATACATCTGCATAACCAACTGAATGCAGGTAAATTCTGTACAGTAAAACTTCACTCCACGACTTCCTTTGAGGTATTAAGCACAGCTTAATAAGTTGCAAAATCTATTCCTTCAGAAAACCCTCACAGCACGTGATCAGGAATCAGGGAAAATGTGGTAGATAAAGACAAATTTGAACAGAGTCTGAAATGAGATTTGCAGATTTTATTTTTTTAAGCTTTTCTCAGTGAAAGCTAAAATGAGACCTTTTATTTTTTTAATGACTTTCAGAATGTGATCTGTGATTTTACCACAGCCACACTCGATTACTGCAGTTCTTTATATGCCAGAGCGTGCCAGGCACAATTATGACGATTGCAGTTAGTCCAAAATGCTGCTACTCGTAAATGAAAAGATGAACATATTAAACTTACCTTGGTATCGTTAAACTGGCTACCTGTACAGCTTAGGATTCATTTTAAAACCCTTGTAATTGCTTGCATCGGCTTGCCCCTGAGATGTTTGATATTTATGGTTTATTCCGCTTATCAGAGGCTTGAGTCAGCTGAACACTTCCAAGCACCAACCTGACTTCTACTGCTAATCGGTAAGCTTCACTAACAGTAGTCAACTTTTAAAAACTGTGCTAGTGGGCATCAGTTTAGCTCAGTGGGTGAGCAGACGACAGTATGTCGCATGTCTAGAGGCCTGGCTTTGATTCAACCTGCATGTCCTCCCGTTCTCTCTCTCTCTCCCCACTATCCTGTCTGTGTTTCCCGCTCCACTATTACATATATAGGACTGTTTTAACATTAAAGTTGATAATCATGTGCTTTGGTTGATTTTAGGCTGACACGGTTAAATTCAGCCTATTCTTTTTGCATTTTAATAAAATGGATACATGCAAAACCTTTTGATATTTTATGGATTTGTCGTGTCAAAAATGATGAAATGAAGCTCTTTATGGGCCTCATGAATCAATATCCAATCCAATCTCCCCTGAGATGTTTGCTGTTGGGCATCCAGTGACTGTCCTTGACATTTTAAATGTCCATTTGTATGCAATCTGTATGGCATCTTTAGGCTTTTTGGTCACAAAGCAGTTATTTCCTTCATAAAGAAAATTACATACATTTAAATGACGGTTAGTTTTCTTCTTCTCGAGCTTGTTATTTTACAGAAGAGCACATAGAGAACATCTGTTATTCCTTGTTTTGTGCACTTACATAAACTCAATGCAAACGATTTACCTTTCTGATGGTCACTGAAGTAGCTGAAATAAGGCGGGCAGGTTATTGTAACCACCTCTCCGACCCGAGCTGAAGGCCAGCAGGCGATGATGTCCCACATGCCTTGGCATCCTGCCAGGTGAACATAATAACATCAACATGGCATCGCTCATATTGTAAGAGACACACGTGGAAGCACCAACACCACGATTACAAAATGAAATCATGTTCAACACTGAAGCCAAATTGAATAAATAATTAATGGCAAGCAGCAGCTGCGTGTTATCACTCAGTTTCACTTTAGGGACTTAGTTACAGGTTTA